ACACTTTCCTTTCCCATGCAGAGTGGTGATCAGGAGGGAATCAGATTCCATAATAGAGGCTGAGTCCCACACAGTAATAGCTGGATCACTCCATGTCACCCACACTGCGTCCTGCCTCTCGCGAGTAATGAGGCGAGGACAGCAGCTCTCTTCCACATGGGGGCCTGGGGATTCGAACCCAGGGGCAGGTGTAAAGGAGCAGGAGCGCCCAGAGACTACATGCTCAAACTGGGGGGGGAACATGCACGCTCCACGCAGAAGGCTCCCCTGCAAGGATTTGAACCCAGGGCCGTGCAGCTGTGAGAATGCGAGCTAAAGCGCACATTCCCCTGCTACCTTCCCATCACAGACACAGAAAAACAAGCCCACAACGTCCCCATATCCAGTCAGCCTTGAAACATTTCAATCCACTTTCCCTACTGCTCTGCAGGCAGCCTGACAGCAGAGAATTATTTACAGGCCTCTGATGTGGCGATAAGGGCGTGTCATTATTACTGCAAGCAAACAGATCTATCTAGCGATAACATCTAGAATGTCGAACGGTACATCACAAAATAATGCTATCTGGAGACTGATATCATCGGCTTCCCAGGAAACGTCACCCGAAAACAAAGAAAAACGGAAAAAGTCCAATCCGGAGAGAAGGAGGAAAGAAAAGGAGAGGAAACTCGACCCCGCGAACCTGAGATTCGGGCCTCGTGACATGCAGAAGGGGCAGCGGCAAGCACGGGCTGCATGGCGCGCCATGAGCTGTGCACAAAGGAGTGTGGGAGTGTGGCACAGGCCATCTGGTTGAAGCCGCTACCCCGGCTTCTTTCAGGGAAGGCTGGATGAGATCCTGGGATCCATAAGCTGCCCGCTACAACGGCCCCCTCTCGCTCGGGACCCCCCTGCTGCTCCGACTTCAAGGGGTCAGGGAGCAAGCACTCGCTTCCCAAACCCCCGTCCCTCCTCGACAGCTCTCCCTCCTGACCTGAACTCCCTGCCCTTCGCTCTTTTCACACCCCGGTCTGCCCGTCCAGCTCGGCGCAGGGAGGTCCCGCCGAACCCGCCTGGGAGACAGAAGGACCCTCTCCAGAAAGCCGAGGCGCCGGCCGTTAAGTCTGGACAGCAGGGGGATAAAAGGACCT